ATACTGTAGTGTTAACGAGTTAACGAGCTGTCGTTAATTGAGTAATTAACGTAAGGGGTTGACGGTCTGTATGATAGGAGTCAATTGCGCTGTAATTAGCTGTTGTAATTCGTTGGACTGATCAGCTCTGTCTGCGGACAGTGATTAAGCACTCGTAGCTAATAAAGATAATTAGTAATCGCCACTTAGTGAATTCACCAGGTGTTGATGTTGTTGTTTACACGGAGTATTGGAACATTGTGTGTGGTACAGTAGTCTACCCTCGTTAAGGTAATCTTGTCGTAAGACCGGAAGTGAACTGTCAGTTGAGAGACAGTAGGCTTTGTCAATACTCGTCTGAATTAATAGGCTGTTGTATTCAGTAATTAATTGGGAATTACTCACCGAATGCTTGACTTTCAAGTTGATGTAATTAATTGACTTACGAGTTATTGGTGCCATTTAAGTGTCGTTGTGACACGTGTGTATTAACGTAATGTGTGCAGTGAAGCAGGCAATCAAAGGAACACATTAGGCAGCCCAACATGGGCTGACCCCATACACAGCCCCAAGAGCAGAGATGAGAGTGCCCAAGAAGCACAAAATCCGACCGACAGGCAAACAACAGGGGAGAGGCGAAAACAAAGAGCCAGAACCCAACCTGCAAGCACAAGGAGGCGAACACGAAACCTCCGACACAGGAAAATGTACTACCAAACAGGCACCCCCACCGTTGCACTGCGGAACAAGGTGGAGGCGGGGCCCCAAACTCAAGCAAGGTTAGACAAGCATAGGAGAGGGGCAGGAGGAGTACAGGCAGGAACCGCCTCGGAAGGGACAAGAGGCCACCCGCAGACACCCGTGAACCGAGGAAGGAATCAGGTGGAGAGAACAAGAGCTGCCCAGTATGGGCTAATAGCCCTGCAGTAGGCACCTCGGGTGATACGGTCCACGTTCTCAAGTACGTATGTACACCCATTCCTACTCCCAAAAACAAAAACAGCGTCAGGACGAAGGAGACGCCAAAACCGCACCAACTCACCTGCAGAACATAGGCTCTGAAGGGCCATGACGCAAGCGTTCGAGTCCTTATCCGCCAGAGGCGGCCAGTGCGCCCATGCTGGAAAGGAGGGGAGCAGCGAAGGAGGCTCCCCACCCCTAGAACGCAGGGAAAAACCTCATGATTTCCCCACAGCGGCACCCCAGAACACCCCCAAAGCAACGGGGCACGGATTGGATTAAGAAAAGAGTGAGAGGCGAAGCCCCCCCGAGAGAAATGGAAGCAGAACACGTGTGCACACCGCCCGGAACCAAAACAAACTCCCACGGCGCATGCGCAGGACGCGAAAGAAAGTAGCCCAACAAGGCGAGAAGTAGCCCATCCAAGCGAGAAGTAGCCCAACCAGGCAAGAAGTAGCCCAACCAGGCGAGAGGTAGCCCAACAAGGCGAGAAGTAGCCCAACCGGCTACAAGGAGCCCAACCTGTCCAGAACAGAAGGAACCAGTGTGGAGGCAAACTCCGGGACACGCAGGAGGTAAGCCGCAAAGGCCAACCGCACCGCAGGCGAAGAGATGTGGTTAGCCAAAAACCTCCTGAAGACGGAACCGAAGAAACCACAGGGACACGGAACCGAACCCGGGGAGGAGCAGAACCCAAGCCCAAATCGTACGCAGAGGGGGGAAAGAAAACCCCACTCCTCGCAACAGTAAGCCCCGCTCAGAAGGACGGAAATCCAGGCGGGGCGCAATGGAGCCCAAGGCCCCCAAGGCCACTCCTCCCCAACGCCAGGAGCCTCTGCACCAGGCCCCGGGGCCGAGTCGACCTCCAGAGCCCCGGCCCCACAAGAAAAAGCCGGGGCAGCCGAGAGAGCTGAAAGAGAAGGGGCCCACTGGTCAGACCCCGGAGCATCGGCCGGAGGAACAGACTCGAATGCCTCCGCAGCTACCCCGGACGGGGCAACCCCCGAATCTGCCCAAGTCTCAGAACCTCTAACCCCGCCCCGACCCCGAAGCCTGCAGATGCGTAGGGGCCGGAAGCAGGAGGGGGAAAAACAAGGGGGGGGCGTGGAAGAACCAAGGCCGAAGCGACCAAAACCCCCAAGTCTGGGTCCTTACACAAGCGGGGCAGCATCGGGGCGTCCTGGGAAGCGACAAACCAGAGCGCGTTGCAACATCCTACCCTGCAATGCGTGAGCTGCCTGCACCACGGGAATTCATCAGCAGACTGGCTGAATGGAGTCACGAACAAGCAACAAAGCTCACAGGACTCAGGGTCGAATGTGTCACCGACCCAACAGGCAGCATGACGGAGGCAAAAACAAGGAGAGTCACCCTAAGACAAAGGGACAGAGCAACCCTCAACTCGCACAAAGCGAGAGGGGACGCAAGGGTCTCCACTATCGGACCCGAGAGCCCCCGGGGTGTTTCCCAGGGCCCCTGGACTGGGTCTGCTAAGGGTTATCCCAGGCAGGGCACTGCTAACCGGCGCCCCAAACTACCAAGCAAATTGCTAAAGCTGAACCCACGGGACGTGTCCACTCACGAGGGCAAAGCAGGGGGTGCCACCACACAAACGAACCTAATATAAGGGGGGGGGGGGACACAAGGCAGACCCCCCTACCAGCCAAAAACAAATATAAAAGAAAAACCACACAAGTAGACAACGTACCCAGAGGGAACAGAGCCGGCCGCTGTCATAGGTGAAAACTAGCTAAGCAGTACCCTGCGCCCCGCCAGTGCTATAACTACCACTTACCCCAAGGTAAACAAGGGAGTAAAACCCCCAAACCCTTGGGACGACCAAACGCCAAGCAGCGAAAAGCCAACAGAGGTAGACCCAAGGTGACTTGTGGAAGGCAACCCCAAGCCCCAAGGGCGGTACTTACAGGGCACTCAGGGAAGGTGACCCTAAGCACATGCAGCCCGAGTACCTGAGAATACTACTCCCAGCTCACACGACCACCGTAAAAGCAGCACTGCAAACAAGTCACAGCACTGAGACAAGACTGGAGCTGGAGCCACACGACCGTGCATTATCCCATCAACCGAGGAACTGGGGCAGGGATCGCCGGCGCGGGGGTCTGGGCCTCCCCGTGTGACATCATGCTTGTTAGTTCATTTTCCTTGGGGAGTTCTGTCCACTCGTTTGTCGATTTTTGTTGTTAACCAGAATAGGGGTTTGTTTTGTGGCGCTTACCTTTCTGGGTGCCTGTCCCGGTCGATGGCAGATATAGAATGCTCCAAATCACATGTGCATTTCTATGGGCCATTGCTCCCCATGCCTCTCTGAGGGGGCCAGGTTCTGGCTCGTGGTCCCTGGTAGGCCTAGAACTCCACCCACATTGACTGATGCAAAATAGTTAGGGTATCCATATCAGCCATGGATAGCTCCGGGGAGCCGTAGGGGCTCCCCCAAGAAACCTAGTAGCACATCTGGAGAGAAGAGACTTTGTGACAACCATCAATATGGGTTCAGGGAGGGTAAATCTTGCCTTACAGGCTTGATTGAATTCTACGACCAGGTGACAAAGATTAAGCAAGAAAGAGAAGGATGGGCGAACTGTATTTTTTTGGACTGTCGGAAAGCCTTTGACACAGTACCCCATAAAAGGTTGATGCATAAGCTGGAGAAACAGGCAGGAGTAACTTGTAGGGCGCTCAAGTGGATAAGGAAGTACCAAAGCAATAGGAAGCAGAGAGTTCCAGTGAGGGGTAAGACCTCAGAATGGCATGAAACCACCAGTGGAGTCCCACAGGGCTCTGTACTCTGACCTATCCTGTTTCTGATGTACGTAAATGATCTCCCAGAGGGTATAGACTCATTCCTCTCAATGTTTGCTGACGACGCCAAAATTATGAGAAGGATTAAGACAGAGGAGGACAGCTTGGGACTTCAAGAAGACCTGGACAAGCTGCAGGAATGGTCGAACAAATAGTTGTTAGAGTTTAACCCAAGCAAATGTAATGTAATGAAGATAGGGGTAGGAAGCAGGAGACCAGATACAAGGTATCATTTGGAGATGAAATACTTCAAGAGTCAGAGAGAGAGAAAGATCTGGAGGTTATTATCACGCCAGACCTGTCCCCTGAAGCTCATATCAAGAGGATAACACCAGCAGCATATGCCACGTTGGCTAACATAAGAACGGCCTTTAGAAACTTGTGTAAGGAATCTTTCAGAACATTATATACCACATACGTCAGACCAATCCTGGAGTATGCGGCTCCAGCATGGAGTCCATATCTAGTCAGGCATAAGACTAAACTGGAAAAAGTTCAAAGGTTTGCCACCAAACTAGTACCCGAGCTGAGAGGTATGAGCTACAAGGAGAGACTACGGGAATTAAACCTCACTTCGTTGGAAGACAGAAGAGTTAGGGGGGACCTGATCACCACATTCAAGATTCTCAAGGGTATCGACAGGGTCGATAAAGACAGGCTATTTAACACAAGGGGCACATGCACTAGGGGACACAGGTAGAAACTGAGTGCCCAAATGAGCCACAGAGATATTAGAAAGAACTTTTTTAGTGTCAGAGTGGTTGACAAATGGAATGCATTAGGAAGTAATGTGGTGGAGGCTGACTCCATACACAGTTTCAAGTGTAGATATGATAGAGCCCAATAGGCTCAGGAACCTGTACACCTGTTGATTGACGGTTGAGAGGCGGGATCAAAGAGCCAGAGCTCAACCTCCGCAAGCACAACTAGGCGAGTACGGGGGGGTTTCTACAGGCCATGGCGCCTCGTACCTCTCTGAGAAGGCCAGGGTCTGGCTCGTGGTCCCCCTGAAGGCCTAGAACTCCATGCGCTTGACTGATGCCAGGGTTTAATACATTCATATCAGCCTGGATAGCTCCGGGGAGCCAAAGGGGCTCCCCGGAGCTCCAGAAAAACAGGTAAAAGTTATGCTATCTTTTGCTATGAAAAATAATCATTGGCAACATATATAAAAAACTAGGCATATCCTCTTCAGTAACTATCATTCAAAATTAGGAGATTTTAAATTAGCATAAACTTACAGTTATCTGCTCGTGAAGTATCTCTTCTATTATTTGACCAACTTTCTTCTTAATGGTGGATATTGGTTCTCTTCTGATAATGGAGGATGATGATTCTTCATTGGAAATGGTGGAGGAAGATTCTTCATTGGTAACGAGGGCAGTTTTGGCACCTGCCTCTGTCATCATTATCTCCAGCGTCTCCCTGATGGTCTCCTGCAACTGTCATCAATAATAATAATAATTTTTATTCACAAGAAGGTATAATGGGTTGTGAGATTACATAAGATTGGTATTTTTACATTCTTGCAAAGCTATTAACACTCATAGTGTTTTGGGCATGTCCTTAATCTAATGTATTGGGTAAAATGAAAAGGTACATTGTAACAAAATTTCTTATCATGTAAATTTATATATAACTACAATATAAATTGAGAGAGGTGATTACACTGGTAAGGATGTATGTTTCAAGTACTAATATTGAGGAAGTGGGTAGCACAAGATACAGTGAGAGTTTGAAGCACAAGGTAGGAAATTATGAGGATGAAATTAGGTACTTTTTTATTTTACTTCTGAATAAGGCATGGGTTGGACAAATTTTTAATTCATTAAGGAGTAGGAGTGATTACCAACACAAATGTTAGAGGTGGAGGTCAAATCTTCCAGGCGGGGACAGGGAGGGACACTTTAGCACCTGCTCTCTTGTCAGCATCTCCAGCATCTCCCTGACAATCTCCGAGTAATACAAACATTAGCCACCAGGCTGGGAAAATCCTGTCATACTCTTCATCTTTCATTAACATGTTCATAAACTTGTACAGAAAATCAAATTCTGATGTCACTGTGGTGTTTGTATACATGTCAAGGCATTGTTTGTATACATGTCAAGGCATTGTTTGTATACATGTCAAGGCATTGTTTGTATACATGTCAAGGCATTGTTTGTATACATGTCAAGGCATTGTTTGTATACATGTCAAGGCCTTGTTTATATTATACATTTCAAGCCATTGTTTTTATACATATGAATGAATCAATGCAATGTTTGATACATGCAAGGCACTGTGTATAGTGTCATCACTGTGTATATTGCCACCACTGTGTGTAGTGCCACCACTATGTAGAGTGACACCACTATAGTGCCACCAGTGTAGTGCCACCACTGTGTATAGTGACATCACTATAGTGCTACCACTGTATACAGTGCCACCACTGTGTATAGTGCCACCACTGTGAATAGTGCCACCACTGTGTATAGTGCCACAAATGTGTATAGTGCCACCACTGAGTAGTGCCACCCCTGTGTACAGTGTCACTACTGTGTATAGTGCTGCCACTGTATGGTGCCACCACTGTGTATAGTGCCACCAATGTGTGTAGTGCCACCACTTTGTATACTGCCACCACTGTGTATAGTGTCACCACTGTGTACAGTGTCACCACTGTGTACAGTGTCACCACTGTGTACAGTGTCACCACTGTGTATAGTGCCATCACTGTGTGTAGTGTCACCAGTGTGAATAGTGCCACCAATGTATATAGTGCCACCACTATAGTGCTACCACTGTGTATAGTGCCACCACTGAGTATAGTGCCACCACTGTGTATAGTGCCACCACTATATATAGTGCCACCAATGTGTATAGTGCCACCACTGTGTGTAGTGCCACCACTATATATAGTGCCACCAATGTGTATAGTGCCACCACTGTGTGTAGTGCCACTCTATGTAAAGTGCCACAACTGTGTATAGTGCCACCATTGTATATAGTGCTACCACTGAGGAAGGTGTCACCACTGTGTATAGTGCCATCACTGTGAATGGTGTCACCACTGTATAGTGCCACTGTGTATAGTGGCACCACTGTGTACAGTGCCACCACTGTGTATAGTGCCCCCAATGTGTATAGTGCCACCACTGTGTATGGTGTCACCACTGTGTATAGTGCCACCACTGTATATAGTGCCACTGACTAGTGCCACCACTGTATATAGTGCCACCACTGTATAGTGCCACTGACTAGTGCCACCACTGTATAGTGCCACTGACTAGTGCCACCACTGTATAGTGCCACTGACTAGTGCCACCACTGTATAATGCTGTGTATAGCGTCACTAATGTGTACAGTGACATGACTATAGTGCCACCACTGTATATAGTGTCACCACTGTATAGTGCCACCACTCTGTATAGTGCCACTACTGTATAGTGCACCTATAATGCCACCACTCTGTATAGTGTCACCACTGTATAGTGCCACGACTGTATAATACCACCACTGTATAGTGCCATGACTGTGTATATTGTCACCACTGAATAGTGCCACCACTGTGTATAGTGCCCAACACTGTATAGTGCCATGACTGCATAGTGCCACCACTGTATAGTGCCATGACTGTATAGTGCCACCAATGTATAGTGCCACCAATGTGTATAGTGCCCCTACTGTGAATAGTGCCACATCTGAGTATAGTGCCACCACTGTGTATAGTGCCATCAATGTGTATAGGGCCACCAATGTGTATAGTGCCACCACCGTATAGTGCCACCACTGTGTAGCACCATCACTGTGTATAGTGCCACCACTGTGTATATTGTCACCACTGTTTATAGTGCCACCACTGTGTATAGTGCTACCACTGAATATAATGCCACCACTAAATAGTGCCACCACTGTGTATGGTGTCACCACTGTATATAGTGCTAACACTGTGAACAGTGCCACCAATGTGTATGGTGTCACCACTGTATATAGTGCCACCAGTGTGTGTAGTGCCACTGTATGGTGCCACCACTGTATATAATGCCACCAGTGTGTGTAATGTCACTGTGTATGGTGTCACCACTGTATATAGTGCCACCACTGTAGTGCCACCACTGTGTATAGTGCCACCACTGTGTAGTGCCACCACTGTGTAGTGCCACCACTGTGTATAGTGCCACCACTGTGTAGTACCTCCACTGTATATAGTGCCACCAGTGTGTGTAGTGCCACCACTATGAATAGTGCCACAACAGTGTATAGTGCCACTGCATATAGTGCCACCACTGTGTATAGTGCCACCACTGTGTATAGTGCCACCAATATGCATAGTGCCACCAATATGCATAGTACCACCACTGTAGTGCCACCACTGTGGTGTCACCACTATATAGTGCCACCACTGTGTATGGTGTCACCACTGTGTACTCACCTATTTGTGCTTGTGGGGGTTGAGCTTTGGCTCTTTGGTCCTGCTTCTCAACTGACAATCAACTGGTGTACAGATTCCTGAGCCTACTGGGCTCTATCATATCTACATTTGCAACCCGCTCTCGCACAAGACAGTGCATATATGACTTATTGCTTATAGTCATTATTTGGCATATTAATAAGTACAAATGTGGTATATTCCTAATTATATTTTGTTTTCAAGGTACAAACTCTTCCTATAGATTTGCTATACACCAATTTTAATATTTGGAATTTCCTTTTCAGTTTTATTAAACAATAGAGATTTTATACAAAATTTTGACAATATCCTGAGGCACTTTACAATTTATTTAAATATTTTAGTTTTGTTTTATTATTTTTATAAAATTGTAATATTAATATAGGTATAGGTTAAGGAACCTGCCTGCTGCTTACCTGATGAGAGGGAAATCACAGAATTTTCACGACTGCAGCGTTGGAAAAATACCACAGTGGCGGAAATGTATGTGTTTTTGGCACTCTGTTTGTTGATGAAGCACTGTCACAAACATGCAATAAATGACTATTGGAGCAAGGACAAGACAATACCAACACCTTTATTCGGGAAATATATGTCACGAGACAGGTTTCAGATACTCCTCAGGTGTCTACATTTTGGAAGTGTTCAGGACCCGAACACCTGATGATAGACTGTGGCGAGTGAGGCACTACATGAACGATGTTATTGGAAAATCAGAGATTTTTACCTACCAGCACAGAAGCTGGTGGTTGATGAATCTCTCAACTTTTCAAGGGACGTGTTCCATTCAAACAGTACATTCCCTCAAAACGAAACCGATTTGGCCTGAAATTTTTGTTCTTTGTGATTGTGAGACAGGATACGTGTTACACATGATTCTGTACTCGGCTAGTGATTAGTGCCACCACTGTGTAGTACCTCCACTGTATATAGTGCCACCAGTGTGTGTAGTGCCACCACTATGAATAGTGCCACAACAGTGTATAGTGCCACTGCATATAGTGCCACCACTGTGTATAGTGCCACCACTGTGTATAGTGCCACCAATATGCATAGTGCCACCAATATGCATAGTACCACCACTGTAGTGCCACCACTGTGGTGTCACCACTATATAGTGCCACCACTGTGTATGGTGTCACCACTGTGTACTCACCTATTTGTGCTTGTGGGGGTTGAGCTTTGGCTCTTTGGTCCTGCTTCTCAACTGACAATCAACTGGTGTACAGATTCCTGAGCCTACTGGGCTCTATCATATCTACATTTGCAACCCGCTCTCGCACAAGACAGTGCATATATGACTTATTGCTTATAGTCATTATTTGGCATATTAATAAGTACAAATGTGGTATATTCCTAATTATATTTTGTTTTCAAGGTACAAACTCTTCCTATAGATTTGCTATACACCAATTTTAATATTTGGAATTTCCTTTTCAGTTTTATTAAACAATAGAGATTTTATACAAAATTTTGACAATATCCTGAGGCACTTTACAATTTATTTAAATATTTTAGTTTTGTTTTATTATTTTTATAAAATTGTAATATTAATATAGGTATAGGTTAAGTACTAATTGTAATTAAGAAGCCATAAGATGCTTATCTTAACACTTTCGCACTCTCGGCGAAGGTCACTCAGCCAACCGTATGTGCGCGCGGCGTTTTTATGGCTTAAGCGTAAAAACAAAAATGTGTATACTCTTTTTACTTTTCTGACCTTAGTTTTCATGCTACGTATTTCATTTTGGTATCAACGTGTTCGCAATAAAATTCTCTAGAAGAACATTAGTAAAAAAAGTCACGAAAGCTATAGAGATACCAGCATGAAATAAATAACTACGAAGATGAGTCGCCGTGAGCGCTCAACAGCAACAAAATGTTTTTACTCTTGGGATTATTATCACCTCTACAATTGTCCTACAGCCTTAATTTTGGTATCAATGGACTCCCAATAAAATTCCCAACACGGTGATATGAATATAATCGTAGAATAATGGTCCCGGCCC